GTCCATCTGCCTGAAGGGAATCCAAATTTCCTCAGGAATCGAATGGAATTGGTTTTAAGGCTTTTAATTCAAACCAGAGCTGAAGACCAGTTTGTCGCAGCGATGTCAGACAAGATATGAATGTTTTTTTGGGCTCAAACGAAAGAGCGGGTCGAGAAATGGCGTGCTAGGGCCTCTAAACATGACAAATGTCTCTAAAGATGTCTGTTTTCAATTGAAAAGCANTGTAGGAGAAGGAAAAACGCAATTCTGAGCCGTCCATCTGCCTGAAGGGAATCCAAATTTCCTCAGGAATCGAATGGAATTGGTTTTAAGGCTTTTAATTCAAACCAGAGCTGAAGACCAGTTTGTCGCAGCGATGTCAGACAAGATATGAATGTTTTTTTGGGCTCAAACGAAAGAGCGGGTCGAGAAATGGCGTGCTAGGGCCTCTAAACATGACAAATGTCTCTAAAGATGTCTGTTTTCAATTGAAAAGCAGAGCTTTGACAACATTGTCCAATGGTTTGTAGGGGTCTTCCCTGGTTCAAAACCCTCTTTAGAGGCATCAGTACGCCATTTCTCGACCCAGAAAAAATCGCCAGGAATTTCCAACAGGGTGAAGCTCAGCCGTTGACTCAAAATCAAACATTGAAATCTTTTTTAAAATTCCATTAATGGAATGCCATTAATTACTCTTCGATAAAAGTACATAAATTCACAGTGAGTTTATTTACATTTTCAATTTTATTAAACCATTCAATGATATTAGATTGATGTCTTAATTCAAATGAGACTGCGCTACGCAGTGTTAATTCAAAAGAGTCTACTTGGGATACATATGCGTGTAATTAACAGTGGACACCCGGTAGAATCGCGGACCTGGTGCGACGATCATTTGCGCTATAATGGACACATGGGTCATCCATAATTAATATCGACTGCAAATATCACGAATGCAATTTCTACTCCACCGACACTTTTTGATCGTCTGCAAGGACCGTGCGCAGATGCGTTTGTGTACAGTTGTTCCCTCACATTTTTCACAAATCTGTGGATATCCTTGGATGTGTACAGTTGGGGAAGTATGAACGCCCTCCCC